TGTTCTGCATGAAGTTATCAAACTTCTTATACCACTGTCTCGGAGCCTGTTTCAAACCATATAAGCTCTTCTTGAGCTTGCACACCATCTCTTCCTTTCCTTCTTCAATGAAGCCAACAGGCTGCTTCATGTAGATTTCTTCATCCAAGTCACCATGAAGAAAGGCAGTCTTCACATCTAACTGCTCAAGGAAGAGGTCTTCTGCAGCTACCAAACTCAACACCACTCTGATGGTTGTGAGTTTCACAACAGGGGAAAATATCTCCGTGTAGTCCACTCCTTCCCGCTGTTGAAACCCTTTCACTACTAATCTGGCCTTGAATCTCTTGCTTCCATCACTCTCCTGCTTGACCCGGTAGACCCATTTATTGTGCAAGGCTTTCTTCTGTGCAGGTAGCTGGGCTAACTCCCATGTCTCATTAGTGAGTAGAGAATCCATCTCCTCCTGCATCGCATGCTCCCACTGCTGAGATTCACTCACTTGCACTGCCTCTTCATAACACTCCGGCTCTCCGCTATCTGTTAAGAGTAGATAATCAAGTGACGAGAGGTATTTGGGATTTGGTTTGGGTACCCTAGATGACCTCCTAGGCTCCACGCCCTGGGTAGTAGCTTCTGCACCTGTAGTCTCCTCCGTTCTACGGTCAGAACTGACATCGTCGCCCCCATCTGGAAGTTCCTCCAAATCCATGTACTCGGATCCACCTGTATCCGTAGTGCTGCTCCCACTGCTTTGGCTATCCTTGGCATTGTCCCTGTCCTTGTACATCACCTCCTCATTGAATATCACATCCCGGCTCCTGATGATCTTCCTGTTCTTCTCATCCCAAAGGCGATACCCGAACTCATCAATGCCGTATCCAATGAATGTGCACTTCTGTGACTTAGCTTCTAGCTTGTCCCTGACATGGTCACTGATATGAACATAAGCCACGCAACCAAATACCCGCAAGTGTGAGAGATTTATCTTCTTTCCACTCCAAACCTCCTCTGGAATCCCAAAATCTAATGGAACTGATGGCCCGTGATTAATAAGGTATGCTGCCGTATGCACCGCATCCGCCCAAAATGTCTTAGGCAGACCTGCATGTAATCGCATGCTCCGCGCACGCTCTGTCAAGGTCCTGTTCATCCTCTCTGCAATGCCGTTCTGCTGCGGCGTCCCTGGAGTAGTCCTCTCTAAGCGAATCCCATTCGTAGCACAGAACCTCTTGAACTCCTCCAGCTCGTATTCTCCACCATTATCTGATCTCAAGCACTTCACCTTCAGATCTGTCTCGTTCTCGACCATGGCCTTCCACTTCTTGAAGATCTCGAACACCTCTGACTTGTGCTTCATGAAGTAAACCCACACCTTCCTCGAGTGATCGTCGATAAAGGTGACGTAGTATCTCGAACCGCCAAAAGAAGACACACTGGCTGGGCCCCATACATCTGTATGAATCAACTCTAGCTTCTGAGCCTTAGGGGGCCTTCCTATCTTTTTATACTATAACTTGATAAATTGTGCACTTGCAATTTTGGTACATAATTATGGCCAAAAGAAGACACACTGGCTGGGCCCCATACATCTGTATGAATCAACTCTAGCTTCTGAGCCTTAGGTGGCCTTCCACCCTTCTGGAAACTAACCCTCTTCTGCTTCCCAAAGATGCAGTCTTCACAAACCCCGACTTCCACGGTGTCGATCCCGGTTAGCTTTCCTTGTGAATGTAGAATTTTCATCCCTTTCTCGCTCATGTGCCCCAGCCTATTGTGCCACAGATCTGTACTCTCCTTGCCAGCTGCAATTGCGAGGGTGTCACTCGCATGTGAAGTGAGGTAGAGAGTTCCCGTTTTGTTGCCTCGGGCAACAACCATCGTACCGTTGGAGATCCTCCACGAATCCCCGGTGAATGTCGAAACGTAGCCTTCTGCTCCAAGCTGTCCCACCGAAACAAGATTCCTCTTCAGCTTCGGCACGTGTCTCACGTTCTTCAAGTTCCACTTAGAGCCCTTTATCTGTATCTGAACGTCGCCCTTTCCAACAATATTGCAAGGTTCATTATCCCCCAAGTATACTTTACCAAAGTCCCCTGCTACATAGTTCTGAAGTAGTCTCCTATTAGCAGTGGCGTGGAAAGAGGCTCCTGAGTCGATGACCCAAGAATCAGAATCGCTATCCATAGCAAGGATCAAGGCATCCTGCACGATATGAGCCTCCTGCTCACCCGCATCCTTCTTTGGTGCTTTACAGACCGAAGACATATGACCCTCCTGACCGCAGTTCCAATACTTCCCTTTGATATACCTAACCTTCGAGTTCGGCCTCTTCTTCACTGATTTCGACCGATTCCTGTTCTGGTTCCCTTTCTTCTGGCTTCTGCCTCTCTGCTCGAAACTTAGGGCTGAACCTGAACCTTCTGATTCGGACGATTTTCTTCTAACCTCCTCGGATAGAATCATGCTAACAACCTCATTCAGCTTCAACTTCTCTTTCCCCGCCAAATTGTTGATTGCTGTCACACAACCTGCCCAACTATCCGGCAACTGCGATAGAATCAATAGGGCTTGCACTTCGTCATCAAACGTGATGTCCACGGAGATAAGCTGATCAACAATTGTGTTGAACTCGCTGAGATGCATCGTGAAGGACCATCCTTCTGCCATCTTGAGGTTAAAAAGAGTTTTGACTAGATGCACCTTGTTTGCTGCCGACGGTTGCTCGTACATCTTCGCGAGCGCTTCCATAAGCCCCACCGTCGTCTTCTCCTTCAGAATATTGTGGGCTACTAATTTGGCGAGCGACAACTGGATTTGCCCTAGAGCCTTCCTATCCAGTACCTCCCAATCACCATCTGACTCCGTCGTCTTCTTTCCCTTTTCCTTGCCCAGAAGCGGGCGATACAAGTCCTTCTGGTACAGATAGTCCTCCATCTGCGACTTCCAGTAGGCGAAATCCGATCCGTCGAACTTCTCAATCTTTGATTTGCTTTCCTCTGCCATGGCTTTCACACAAATTGCTGAACGAAGCTCTGATACCAGTTGTTGGGGATTCGAAACAATCAATCGAACCCTTGCCCTTCCGGACCTTGTGTTGAAAGTAGGAAAGTAGGAATAAAACCACAAATAAAGATCTAACTTGCAAAAAACAATAAGAGAGATGAACACACAGATTTTACGAGGTTCGGCAACGTGCCTACGTCCTCGGGAGCCACACCACACAATCTTTCTATTAATTGAAGAAGAAAATACAAGCTCTCAAACAAGGGGTAAATCTCTCTGAGATTCTCTCTCTCTTAGCAGCCAAAAAAACTCCTTTTTTGATGTCCTACAAACCCTAGAAACGTTTGGGTATTTATAACAAACCCCAGCAGAACAGGATTCCTAGATAAAATAGGAAACAGCGAATTTGCGTCGCGGTCGACCGCTTTGCCAAGGTCGGTCGACCGGTCAGAACGACGAAATCCTACACGGTCTTGTGCACGATATCGGTCGAGCGCAGCGACCACGCCGGTCGACCGGCCAGAGCGAAAACTTCTTCTCAGTCTCTTGCAGTGCACGCGGTCGACCGGCTCTGCCACTGCGGTCGACCGCACAGTCTTCTGACTGTTTTCTTCGTCTTTTCGATTGCAGCTTTGGGTCTACACACTTAGACTAACAACATTTTCATGCAAAATGGGATAATTGTTAAAGTGGAATAATTTTTCGCTAGCTAGTGAAATATTTTAGTGGGATAAATAGGAACAATTTTGTGAAACGAGATATTTTAATAAAATAACGTGGGATAAATTTTTATAATCATGAAATATATATTTATGCATTTTGAAGATATAAATACTATTTATGTATTTTAAACTTACTATTATTGATTGATAATTGCTTACAAGAATGTTTTTTACTATTAAATAACTTTTGATTAGACTATAAGATATTGACAATTATTATTATAATGATGGTCTAATGATGGTGATAACCATAATAGGAAAGAAGTAAAGAAAAAAGAAATATAAAAGATAAAAAATAACAAAATAAATATGATTCTAGTTTTTTACCACCTAGTTCCAAGCTAAAACTTAAAATAATTTGAGAGACTAGAACTCTTATTTTTGTATAGAAAAATAAAAAAAATAAGATAATTTTGTATCATTATCCTAATTCTAATTTTGTTAGAGTTCTACTTCTGTAAAATTTTGTTCTACTTTTAGGGGTGTTTGGTTACATTTCTATAAATTATAGGAAATGTTTTCCACCCAAAACATAATTTCTTTGTATTTTTTAAAAAATTTATAGGAAAAGTTTTGAAAAGTTAAAAAGTACAAATTTTTCTTGTTTTTTGTATTTTGCTTGTTTGGTTCAAAACAAGAAAATGACTCATAACTTTATAGAAAATAGCAACATTTTCTATAATTTGTAGAAGTTGAACCAAACACCCTCAACTTTGTAGAAAAGTGAGAACCTTATAGAAAAGTGTCAATGAGTTTTATTATTTAATAATGAATGCGTCAGATTTCTAGCTGATTTCCGCCCATTTTAGAAGGAAATCGATTTTATAAAATTTGGTACTTTTCTGTACTTTACAGAAAATATTTCTGTAAATTTTTTTTGAACCAAACACAGTATACGGAAATCTATAGAAAATGTTTAATTACAGAAATGTCATACGTCAGTACTTTTGAGAAAACATTTATCAAAAAACATGCAACAAAACACCCAATTAGTTCTATGTGACTAACACCTTAAAAATTTATCTCATATATTATCTCAGTTTTAATTTTAAGTTCTAGGGACTAACCCTCTTATAGATATTAGAAGAAAAGGATGATTATTTAAGATTCCATTCAAGATATACAAATAACAAATTCCACAACTAATTAGATCCATCCTGTGCCGTATCCCCTATCCCTTTATCCGTTGCCCTTAAAGTAGCCGAATCCCCTTCACTAAATTAAGGGGCATTTTCGCCATTTACATCCTCACCCGTTACCGTTAGGGTTAAATAGTCCCTTACCCAGTCTACAAAAGACTGAAACAAACTAGAAAGCGATTACAACGAAAAAACCTCCAGATTAAAAAAAGAGCCGGCCTCAGCTTCGTCGATCTCTAAATTCCCTGTGAATTTGTCTAATTTCGTCGCATATTCCACTCTCCTTCCCCAAAATCTCACGAAGCCCTCTACAAAGTTAGTGTTTTGTCAGCGAGATCGTCCAGATCCAGCCGCTAATGGTGGCGAGAATGATGCGGTGGAGGCCTTGGCCGCCGATAATGGCGAAAAAGTTCGAGGTGAGGTTGAATTTGAGGAGGATCGAGGGTTTCAATGGGGGTGAGGATGGAGCTAGGGTTTTGATGGCGGAGGTGAGGTGGAAAGGGCCAAAATTGGGGCTTGGGGCTTTGAGGAGGACGGTGAAGAGGAATTGCACGAAGGAGGAGGAGGCGAATGGAACGGTCGTCGAATGGAACGAGGATTTTGAGAGTATTTGCAGCTTGACGTTTCATAAGGAGAACGCGTTTCATCCGTGGGAGATCGAGATTAGGGTTTTCAACGTAAGTTTTTTTTATCTTTTTCTTGAATTTAGTTGTTACTGCTTCAATTGGGCTTAAAAATCTGTCTTTTTGAGGGGTTATTGGATTATGATTTATTTTACACTGTTCAGACTTTGGTAGGGTGTTACTTTTGTTGTATGTGATTCATATTTCATCAAATTTCTTTTACTTAGATGTTATTGTAGGTTAAATTCTTTCTAATTTTAGCATATTCTGACCTAATAGGTTGTTTATGTAATTTGTGCTATTCTTTTGCATATTCTTTTGCTGTAATTATCCCTATCTATATCATCTCAAGACTTCTTAGCCATCTTTTTAATGGGAATAGAGATTTCTACGTTGCTATGAATTTTCAGTTTTTTTAAAAGTAGATAGTTTTTTTTTATGTCATAGCATGCATCTGGAATTAGGATTAATTTTATTCTGTTCAATTATTGATTAGGGAAATGACATTTGACTTTTTCAGATCGATATTTGATCCCTTGAGAATATTTAGGTTTGATTTCAATGTGATAACAATAGT